GATACTGCCGTGGGGTGAGAAATCTCTTTTCCAGAGCGGTGGGTAACGTCCAGCTTTCGCTTACCGGCAAGCTGCGTGGTTGAGGTGAGAGCGGGCACCTCCTCGCCCCTGGTCGCCGAGGCGCGGCGGGGGCTGGGTGACCGGGGCTGGATCGATGGTGGTTTTCCGAGGCCCTCGTGGATCGTGACTCAGCCGTGTTAACACAGGATTTCCTTGCGTTGTTTGTCAGGTGTGGGGTTCTACAGGGCACGACGTTAGCTGAGAGGTGCAGTGGTTAACGATTCAGCCAGTGAAGGAGTTTTGCCTATGGGGTGTAATACAAGGTGGGTGGTGGTGGTGGTTTTTGCCTATGGGGTGTAATACAAGGTGGGGGGTGGGGGTGCAGAGGCTTACATTGAGACTTTGAAAGTAACAGGACAGAAAGAACAGTATTATAACATGAACAGTGAAGAGGCAGGATCATCAGCAGGTGGTCTCAGATGAAGCGGATAAGACCAAATGCTCATAATAATTTTTTTATTGAGTATTCTTGCCTCTATCTGAGCAGCTACATTTTCATCCTCCTCGTTCTCCTCAAATGAGTAGAGATCCTCAGTCAAAAATGAACGAACAGTAGTGGTGATTAGCGCATCATGGTCTTAAATGAGCAAAAACATAACTCCGGCTGTAGAAGCAACAGATAGCAAGATGTTCCTGTATCTGTATTTGAGAAAACTCAAGGAGGCAAAGTAATTTCTCTTGTCTTGTAGTCATCACAAAATATAAACCTACCTCTCACAAAACAAATCATGAGTCTCGAAAGCTAGCAGTAGTGCATTCACTGCTACCGTTATCTTTTCAGGGCAGAGAGCTGTAGCAGTGGAAGTCAAAAAAGTTGTAGTTAAGCCTTTTCAGTAAGTGGTATAATGAAAGGAAGCAAGGGCTTTGGGAAATCTCCCTTGAATAACAGGGAGAACTAAAGCAAAAAAAAACCCCAGCAAGATATAGTAATCTCAAACTAACGTAGTTGGTGGCCGACCCTAGAAAAGGGAGGTGAGTGGCCTGGGGAGTTGGGAGCAGATGGACCTGTGGGTAGAGGAGGCAACGGGCAACAGAGTTCATGGATAAGGGAGAAAATGGCCAGGATGGCAGTTTGGGCCAAACTGCGGGTAAAGTTTTAATGTTGGCTTAAACTAAGCATGTGCAGCCACTCAGGGCACTGACTCCTGCTTTGGCTGGGAATTGGCTCTGTTAAAAAAAGTTGTAAAAAAATTGCCATCATTCCCTCCTCACCTCTTGGTCTGCTTTAAGCACAGTGTGGGATTTCCCTTTCTTGTGGTTCTGTGATGATCTTAGGTTATCTGTGCATGGTCATGCAGCTGTACTCTGGGAGTGTTACAGAGTTTTAAAGGGTAAGATGGAGGCTCACTGGAAACAGGAGGGAGACCGGAAAGAGAAATTTGAGGAATGGAAACTGGAACTGGATGAGCAAGAGACAGGAGTTGAAGTCTAGCTCTTAGTGAAAAAAGAAACAAGAGCCAGAAGTCTCGTAGGCCTTCTCCTTTTAACTCTTTGGGTCCTGGTGTGGTTTTTATCATTTGGTTTTTTTTTTCCTTTGTTTTGGTGTGGGTTTTTTCACTGTGCTACTGAACTGGAGTTTAGAGGTTGTACTAGAAAATAGGGTAATCCAAGATTAACTGTCACTGTTACCTTGCTAAAGACTTTTTTTTTTCCCCCTCCTCATTTCCTCCTCAGTCTTATGTAGTTAGGAAGAGCTGACTGCTAAAGAGAAAATGACATCTCTAGAAAAAGGTAGGTGATTCACACGATACCTAAGCAGATTGGATTAAAAGTGCTTTAACTTGAATTCTAAAGACTGGAGTTACACCATATGCCAGGCTCCATTCATTTAAACTTACACTTTTTATGTAGCTATTAGGAAGTAGTTATGTGACTTCATTATTGCAGCGAAAACCAGAGCTGCCTGGATGGAACAGTTAACTGAATGTAGTTTTTCAATACAAAGCTGGATTAGAAAACAAGTTTGTCACTGGTACTGTCATCTGTCTATACACTTGTCTGTCAGTCCTCCTCCAGTATTTAGAACCTGTTGGTACTGATTCAGCCAACTTGAAAGCAGGGCAATATAATGGTGCTACTACAGCGTTTTTGAAATTCATTATTTGGATAGAGGATGCAGACTCATGTTAACTGCCCGCAGTGTGAGGGGAAAAAAGCAGTATGTGTAGCTATGTTCTAAGAAACTTTCTTGCCTTCGCCCATTGTGAGGAAACTACTACAATAATATTTCATTCAGCTGAAAACTTAGTGAACTTAAATAAAATGAATACATTATCATGCATACTGAGGAATTCAGAGCAGAATGCAGCATTGCTGGGAATACTGGGGTCTGTTGGTTAGAAATGAAGCCGAACTGGCTTGTTGGCTTTTCTTAAACCTTCACTTGGACAACTAAAACACATGGTAGATATTAGTTAAAAGTCTGCTAAACTTCTTAAGGTGTTAGGAGCTATGTAGCAAATAGCAGCTTTTCATTTAATTCTTGCTTTTAAAATGAGACTGCTCCGATTCTGTCAGCTCCCAAAACCTGATTTTGCTTTCAACCTATGAGTAATACTGTCAAGAATTTTTTCCTTACTAGCTCTTCTTCATGTCTGCATCTCATCTTGTATGGCAGCAGGAAATTAAGATTAATACAATTCAAATCAATGTCTGTGTCTTGTACTACTGGTATTAATGAGCAACACACATTTGAGTAAGGACTTTGCAGCAGCAATTACAAAGCACAAGTTAGAAAAGGACTATTTTACACGTGCAGTGTACAATTAAAATTGGTGACTTTGAAGTACAGACATTAAGTGAAGAGTTACAATGAGACTATAGCAAAGTGAAAGGTGGTAAACTTTCCCTCTGCTATTTCTAAATTTTAGTTGATGATGCCTCGTCACCCATCCGAGGACCTGGAGATGGCATGGAAACAGAGCAGACAGCTGAATCGGTGGAAGTAATCACTGGAGCCAACACTACGAACCATCACATCCACCACAGCCCACCTAAAAAGACAGTCTCCTCCTTGAGTCCTGGAGTTCTGCAGCTAGGGAAAGTACATGCTGATAAATCAGTGGAGATTGAAGCTATTCGTATATTAGTCCCCAAAGCAGCTATCACCCATGTTGTTCCAACTAGAAATGCTAAGGTAGCTAAATCAGTGGGACATAAAGGAGACACGTTCCATCAGTCAGATGGAGCTGCAGATCCCAAGAAAGAACAGCTAGAGCTGAAAAATGCAATTGAAAAGCTAAAGAATTCAGAAAAGCGGTTGTTACAGGATAAAGAAGGTCTCTCTAATCAGCTGCGTATACAGACAGAGGTAAGAAATGAAAGGTACTTTCTCTCAAACAGCTGGGCTGCTTTGGTTTATATAAGCAGTTTGTGAATGTGACAAAAGAACTGCTGTGACACTCTAGCCTTGAAACAGATAGTTTCCCTTTTGAACTTACCAGCTAAGACACAGAGTAGAAGTACATCTAAGTAATCCAGTGCTGCTTCTCTGACAACAGATGAAAGTATCAAAGGCTTGAAGCTGGGAGAAACACATGAGGGCTGCAAGGAAATGGATCTTTCACAAGGAAAGATTTTGTTCCTCAACCGCTAAGTGAAAAATTTTATGCCATAGAAGGGGTGACTATAATTTTCTACATAATACAATCTGTGGATATCTTGTCTAATCCTTTGTTATCTTACTGATTCAGGACTTGAATGCTACTGAAACTTTCTTTGTTTCTTGTAGCAGGCTTTCATTCATCCTCTTTGGTCTCCGTTAGAATTTAAACAAGAATGTGTTAAACGTGCATTAGTCTCGAATGTTTATGCTCACTGGAGTGGATTGTGAGGCTTAATATACTCTGCATTGGACTTGTCCCAGTCTGGAAAGAGAAAGGCAATTTATTGTTAGATATTTGCAATAACTTGCACTGCATTCTGGAAGTAGGAGGTGTTTCATTCTATGCTGGTAGTTACAAGACAGTCTGGTCTAATTCTAGGTGAATCGGGAGCTGAAGAAATTACTTGTTGCTTCTGTTGGGGATGATCTGGAGTATCACTTTGAACGGATGGCTCGTGAGAAAAATCAGCTAATCCTAGAAAATGAAGTCCTGGGCCGGAATATGTCTCAGTTGTCTGAACAATTAGAGCGCATGTCTATACAATGTGATGTGTGGCGAAGCAAATTCCTAGCGAGCAGGTATTCCCTCTTACAGAACTGTTACAACAGCATTCTCCTTGAGTCTTTTATTACATACGCCCATTGCAATGCCTGGGAATGTGCCTAAATATGCCGAGGACAGCCACAACAGCTATACTAACACCTACTATGAGGTTTGAGTATACAGAAAAGGTACAAAGTAAGCTCCTTGTAAAACTGAATAGTTATGTTTTTCAAAGGTAATACAGTGGATCCTAAACCTCTTAAAATCTTAACTACAGTTCTTGTCAACATAGCAAGAGAAGTTCTTAGTTCTGCACACTTCCTAGACTGTGTGCAGTTTAGGGTTTAACAATGTCTTCCGGGACACAGCTGTCTTGACTCATCTTAAAGGTAATTACCTTCATTTTCATCCCCACCCCCCAAGTAGGATACAATCATCAATGTGTGAAGAAGTTGATTTGGTTAAGAACTCTGCTTACAGTGATTCAGGGATCTACTGGGAGGAGCAGCTCAGTATGGAAGAAAGAGTAGGGGCACCTTTTCATTAAACACTGATTGTGTTACTGCTCAGAACCCTATTGTTTCTTGTATAACCATAAAAATAATGGGTAGCAAAAGTCAGGAGCAAGTCTTAAGCTGGTCTGAATGTCAGAATCTCATTTGACAATGGATTAGACTTTTAACTTGCTAAGTGTAGTTGTCTTACCAGATATGTGAATAGTGTTCTAGGATTTTTAATCTTTTATTGTACTTGGGCATAACTAACTAAACTTTAATTATGATGCTTAATGCATATTACAAAAAGGTCTTACTGCTTGAAGGAAATGGTAATAGAATACAATGTCCTCCCTTTAATTTGCTTGTCTTATAAGTATTTACATTCACTCAATATGCTGAAACTTCTTAGTAGTCCCAGCTAGGCAAGTGTTACTATCCTAATTTAACTTGTTTCTTTAGCATTAATAGGAGTTCTGAGATCAGGGGTGCAAGTCCCTTCTAGAAATGACAGTGTGGTGATGTGCTTAGAGTAACACCCTTCGATATTGTAATGTTCTGGTTTGTTGAGATCTCAGATTTCTAACTGGTTGTTGTTTAAATGTCATCCTGGTTTTTTGCATTTGCAGTATCGCAGGCATTTGAAACACCTGCCTGAGGGGTCCATGCCAAGTCTCATGGCATAGCAAAATATGACAACAGTTGTCTCATTTGTAGCTCTTAAATGCTCATATCTGGCACATATAACATCTAGTTATTGCCCCTGAGAAAGGCAAAGAGGTGAATGAATGCAGTCTGTAGCCGTAGCTGTCATCTTTAGAGATGAGTATGAAAAGACATAATTACAGCACACTTGTGAGAACCGTGTTAGTAAAACAAAATGAGTTTAGCTTTGTCTGTCAGGATGCTTGTCCAGCATGTTCATGTACTCAAGGTGTTTTAAAATGTCTGTTTACTAGATTTGTATTAAGTGACATAAGATTGTTTAAACTCAGCAAGTCAAAACATAATCTTGCACTCATGTTGACTGTAGTTGAACAGAAATTCCTCTTAATACATGTCCTTTGTAATAAGGTTGATATAGGCCCTGCATGGGGGAGGGGGGTAAGAACAGCAGCTTAATACTTAGTTTGAGCTGACAAATTATGGTCTGTGGTAGAATAAAGGTGACTTTCAAACTGCTCACTTATACTGCTGATTGGAGATTTCTTTTGCAGGGTTATGGCTGATGAGCTAACCAATACCAGAGCAATTCTTCAGCGTCAAACCAGGGATGCGCAAAGTGCAATCCAGGACTTGCTGAATGAACGTGATCAGTTCCGTCAAGAGATGATTGATACACAGAAGTATGACTTTTCTAATCCAGACTAACTCTGTGCAAACTTTCATTTCTGTCAGTATATTCTAGGCCAGAGAAGAATCAAATAACTTTCCCCTATTCCAGTGGTATTCAACAAAAATCAATTATGCTGACGGATAGTACGGTCACTTTTCAGTCTCGGAGCTGAAAAAGCCAAAGTAGCATTAATTCTTTCTTCATCGTTCCCTGGAGGTGTTAGGGGTCATATACTGTGGAACTGACATCCCTCATATCCTCAGACTTTCTCTATTCAATCACTTACTGTCTTGACTTCAAGTTTCCTCTGTCTCCTTCCAAAACATACAGCTTCTTCTACCCGCATTGGCTTTTTAGTGCTTATCCTGCCAGATGTGAAATGAGTTTAACGAGTATTAAAATACTGTGTTGGTGAGGCCTTGCCTGGGAGAATAGCCTGTTTGCCTCCTTGCTTTTAAACACTTAAACTTCCTTTTTTGGTTAACATTTGGCTTGTGCAATAAGTCTTCGGAAGAGACGATTCCTCTGAAGTACGCTGTGTGCTGATAGTGGTTTTTGTACTCTATACTATTAGTGCTGTTTTTCCTTTCTGCACAGGCTGCTGGAGGAGCTGATGGTTTCCCTTCAATGGGGGAGACAACAGACATACTATCCTAGTGCCCAACCTTACACTACAACAGAGCTAGCAGCTGTGAATTGTAAGCTAGCCAAAGCTGTAAGCTCGCATCTTCTTGGAAATGTTGGCACTAACAGTCCAAAAAAGACTTCAACAGCTGTGGAGTTTTGCAATACCCCTGCTGAGAAAATGGCTGAAATGGTAAGAACCCTTCATACATCTCAGTCTGTCAGCACAGAGTCTTCTTTCCAGAAAGAAATGCCTTGCCTTGTGTTAACTACTTAATATCTTGCCTTTTTTTAAAAACTATATGCAGGGGAAACATGCTGAATAGAGCTGTCTGTTTCCCTCATTAACAAAGGGACACCACACCACCACCCCCCCCCAAAGAAAAAAAAACCACACAAAACAAACAAACAAATAAAACCCAAAACAAAACTGGAATAATAAGCAGAACAACATAAATAATATGATGATACATACTGTTTGCTTCTGTCCCTAGCACCACAAATAACTGGGTCAAAATTTGTTTAGAGTTAGTGTGTCAGGAGGAAGCCAACTGAAAATACTTGAGTTGAAAAACTGAGTGGGAGAAGAAACCTAGTTCAGGTAGGAATAAGTTGTAACACTTAGCAGTAGTTTCTGTTGCCCTAAAAATCAGTTCTGTTGAAAGTGGGTGGAAACACAGGGAGAAGCTATATGATTATTTTTCAAAATAAGGTTCCACTGCAGGAAGCTTGATGTTTAAATACCAAACTAGACTAACAGTTTAGTCTGGAAGCAATTGAGTAGTAGTTGAGCAGCAGGAGGCTCACAAGTGCCTAGTGATTTGTGGTGTTCTTGCCTGATTTTGCTCAACTCTGCTAAAAAGATGAGAATTTTTTTTATTCTCAATAAAATCATACCTTGGATTTCTGATGGATGTTACTAATTTATAAACAGTACTTAGTGTCTTTATATTGAGGGTCTGATAGATGGATAGGTAGTTTTCAACTTGGAAAAAAACTGAAGAATTACTTTTGAGCAGAAATCCTTCTTGGCTGTTAGAGAAGGATAAAACCCATTAAACTTAATAGATATATTTTCAGTCTCAATTTTTCCATCCTTAGGTGCTACGTGTACTGGATCCAGCTGCACGTACAGAAACAACAACAGAAGTTTCTTTTTCTGAGACTTCTCCATCCTCCTTCCTTTCCACAAAGAAGAATATCGGAAGGTTTCACCCCTATACAAGATACGAAGATGTAACTTTCAATTGTTGCAATCACTGTCAAGGAGAGCTGATCGCCCTTTAAGAACACAGCCAATGCAACTGCACATGCACTCTATCTGAAGAGTTACACTATTTGACGTTCAGCAGGCTTCACTTTTTCCTATTTCTTTCCGTAATGGGTGGGTTTAACATTGGAAATTACGCAGTTTCTGCTTCTCTACCTCTTGAAGCTAGTGACTGACAGGATTTCCTTAGCCTCTGGGATACTTGTACTACTTTTCAGTCTGGAAAGCTACTTATTTTCTTCTACAAAGGCAAGACCAAAAACGTTGTGCTGGTCCAATTTGTAGAGCATAGAGATGCCCTTGACAATTTAAGGTTCACGGTCTTACCAGCAAATCTCAATGAATTTCTCTTTAGGGGGAGACGAAAGCATAACTATACCAAAGTAAATGAAGTGCTCATATGTTATGTTTAAAAAAAAAAAAAAAAAAGCAAAGAAAAT